CCGATGTAACCACAGTATTTGACGGTTCTATTTGACTCTCAGATATGAAGTGCATGCCCCAGATGTACTTTTTAGCACCCAAAAAATTAGAATGTTTAAAACTGCGCTGTCACAGCAGTATTTTAAAGCGGCACTGTCATGCTGAATCCCGTTTTTTGGGGTTTTTTTTAACCCCCCTCCCGCCTCCACTACATCCAATTGACCCACTGGTCACCCCCAAATGCCCCTAAGCCCCCCACATTACCTATTTTTTAATCCTTATTTTCTGCCCCGATCTTGATTCAGGGCGCCGCCATCTTTGTGTGGGTAGATGAAGTGCCTGTGGGACACGTCATCAGCCCACACTAGATAGACTGTTAGATTCCCGCACATGCCCAGTGAAACACCTGGACATGCGAACGGGAATTTCATCTATTCATTCATTCATCAGACAGACGAATGAATGAATAGAAATATCAGCCGAACAAACAAACACAGTGTATCAGTGTATCAGTGTTTGTTTGTTCGTGCAGTTTATTACAAGGAGGGAGCTACCGGCACGCAGCTCCCTCCTTGTAATATGTAAAGATAGAAGCGGCAGGGAGCAGTGCGCCCCACCACTTCATAAGCCCCGCAGGTCCCCCTCTCACTCTATGGGGGTCATTATGACCCCCATAATAGCACAAGGGAAATTAAAATCTCCCAAATGCCCCTACTCGCTATACCACGAGTAGGGGCATGTCTACTAAACTGTGAGCAGCCTGTGGCTGCTCACTGTTGAAAAAAAATGACAAATTACAATAAGGGGGGGCGGACCTATTGTCCTCCCCCCCTCCACCCTGAGCGGCGGGTGGGGGCCATGAAGATAAAGAGGGGGGGCCTACTGTCCTCCCCCCTGGCCCCCACCCCTGAGCGGTGGGTGGGGGCCCTTATAAAACAATAAGGGGGGGACCTACTTCCTCCCCACTAGCCCCCACCCCTGCGCGGTGGGTGGGGGCCCTAATAAAACAAAAAGGGGGGGGGACCTACTGTCCTCCCCCCCCGGCCCCCACCCCTGCGCGGTTGGTGGGGGCCCTAAATAAAGATATGGGGGGGGACCTACTGTCCTCCCCCCCCTGGCCCCCACCCCTGCGCGGTGGGTGGGGGCCCCAATAAAACAATAAGGGGGGGGACCTACTGTCCTCCCCCCCTGGCCACCACCCCTGAGCGGTGGGTGGGGGCCCCAGTAAAACAATAAGGGGGGGGACCTACTGTCCTCCCCCCCTGACCCCCACCCCGAGCGGTGGGTGGGGGCCCTAATAAAATAATAAGGGGGGGACATACTGTCCTCCCCCCCTGGCCCCCACCTCTGAGCGGTGGGTGGGGGCCCTAAATGAAACCCCCCCCAATCAAGGTGACTAGGGGTCCCGAGCCCCTAGTCACCCCCCCCACCCAAAAAAACCTATCCCCTTCCTACCCCCCTCACCCTAAAAATAGTGAGGGGGGAATAAAATAACTAACCTGTAAAAAAAAAAAATTAAACTTACCATTTGACGTCTACTTTTTTCTAAAATCTTCTTTCTTCAGCCCCCAAAAAGGCCAAATAAAAATCCATTATACCCGTCGCACGTAAAAAAAAAAAAGCGCAAAAATAATTAATCCATGTTCGCCCTTCGAGGGCACGCCGCATACTGAGCTCCGCAGGGCGGGTCAAGGCTTATAAAGCCTTGCCCCGCCCTGCAATTAGGCTTAGAACACTCTGATTGGTGGGTTTAAGCCAATCAGAGTGCTCTGAGTCATTTTACACAGGTGGGAAAATCAAAGAATTTTTTTTTTTTTTTGCAGAGCGGGTATAATGGATTTTTATTTGGCCTTTTTGGGGGCTGAAGAAAGAAGATTTTAGAAAAAAGAAGACGTCAAATGGTAAGTTTAATTTTTTTTTTTACAGGTTAGTTATTTTATTCCCCCCTCACTATTTTTAGGGTGAGGGGGGTAGGTAGGGGATAGGTTTTTTTGGGTGGGGGGGGTGACTAGGGGCTTGGGACCCCTAGTCACCTTGATTGGGGGGAGTTTCATTTAGGGCCCCCACCCACCGCTCAGGGGTGGGGGCCAGGGGGGGGGAGGACAGTAGGTCTCCCCCCCCTTATTGTTTTATTAGGGCCCCCACCCACCGCTGAGGGGTGGGGGCCAGGGGTAGGACAGTAGGTCGTCCCCCCTTATTGTTTTACTGGGGCCCCCACCCACTGCTCAGGGGTGGGGGCCGGGGGAAGGACAGTAGGTCCCCCCCTTATTGTTTTATTAGGGCCCCCACCCACCGCGCAGGGGTGGGGGCCAGGAGGGGGGACAGAAGTTCCCCCCCCATATCTTTATTTAGGGCCCCCACCCACTGCTCAGGGGTGGGGGCCAGGGGGGGCCAGTAGGTCCCCCCCATCTTTATTTAGGGCCCCCACCCACCGCTCAGGGGTGGGGACCAGGGGGGGCCAGTAGGTCCCCCCCATCTTTATTTAGGGCCCCCATGGGCATGGGGGGGGCCTAAATAAAGATGCTCACTGCTATACTACACATGCTATAAGCTGCTCACTGCTTACTACACATGCCCCTACTCGCGGTATAGCGAGTAGGGGCATATTATTATTATTTACTAATACTAAGTAATCTAAGATTACTCCAATTTAGGTCTTTCAGCCTTTTAGTAGATAGCTCCCTGATACTGTGGGAATTAGGGAGTTATCTACTAAGCGGCTGCAAGATGCAGCCACAGCATGAATAGGATCGGAGTTTCATTCATTAGAATGAAATTCCGATCCGAATAAAATGCCGAATTGCGTATTCACTGTAGTTTGCAGATTCAACACCAGAATTCTTTTCTAATCTGTCCCTCACAGCTGCATCATCCTCTCCCTACACTAATAGCACTGCACGTCAGATGAGTGGTTATGTCACTCCAGCTTATATAGAGGCTGGGTCACATGCTGCACTGGCCAATCACAGCCATGCCCCCGGCTGTTGGAGGAGCCTGTTTGCCAGCCTCCTTCCTCATGTCTATGGCCCTGGGCTGTATTGCCATTTAAAAAGACTATGTGGGGCTTATTGGCTTCTAAAGACTGTTTCTGCCCATTTTAATCCATGGGAAGGTGTGTCTCTTCCCCTCCCCCGTTTTTCTGTCTATTGTTCTCCAGCAGGGCGTTGTCCCAGGCACACTGCCAAACCAGTTGGAACTGACTGCTTTTGTCCCTCCTTGGTCTCTCAACAGCCCCCTTGCTATGCTTTACCCCATGGCAAATTTACTTTGTTCGTGGGAGCCGAGCGCTGTTCACCTATATTGGGCACTCAGATCCGAGCCATCTGGGGATAGGTTAACTGTGGGGGTTCTGTGTATTATAAGATTTATATATTTTTATGTACTTTTATGTATTTTTGCTGTTAGTGTAAAATTTAGATATTTTCTGTACCTGGAGATAATTGAGTTTACTGAATGCCTTAAAGGACCACTACAGTGCCAGGAAAACATACTTGTTTTCCTGGCACTATAGTGCCCTGAGGGTGCCCCCACCCCTCAGGTTGCCCCTCCCGCCAGGCTGGATGGAGAGGAAATTACCTCTTTCTCCAGCACCGGGCGGGGACTCTCTTCCTCCTGGCTGAATGCGCAGCGCGTGCATTCAACCAGTCTCATAGGAAAGCATTCACAATGCTTTCCTATGGACACTGGCGTCTTCTCACTGTGAAAATCACAGTGAGAAGCGCCTCTAGCGGCTGTCAGTGAGACGGCCACTAGAGGCTGAAACTGCTATGTTTATTGAAAAAAGGGGTTAACCCTAGCTGGACCAGACACCCAGACCACTTCATTAACCTGAAGTGGTCTGGGTGCCTATAGTGGTCTTTTAAGCCAATTATCTCCAGGATAGAGAGGAGGGATTTCATTGTGTATGTAGGATGGCTATTATGTTAATTAGTGTTCCCATTGGTTTGTGTCCCTTTTGTCACAGTTTACCACCAGGTCCAGGGGGTGTGCCTCTGGCCTGAAAACTTGTATATAAGGAGTAATAAACGCTCATTGTAGTCAGATCATCTTGTACCTTCATGAAGTTTCGGCTCATGTTTGGGGGATTGGAGAACTACACTCTGGGGATTGCTACAATCACTATACTCCCCAGGGTATGATCACTAAGCTCTGCTAAGAGCTTGTTCCTGCTCTCTGAAATTCGGAGAGGTTGACCTACTGGAAGCTGGACCCTGGTCTTGGGTCCTGAGTGGGTGGAGATGGCGAGACCCCCAACCAAGCTGTGGTGGTTCGAGGGAGTCTACAGTGGCTATGGTGTCTGGTGGAGTGCTTGGAGTCCTTGGTAAGCACTAGGAGCCAACTCAGAAGGTACTCAGTTGGGATGCAAGCGGTTCCGTTACACATATGTAGGAATAGGAACACAGTGGTGTAAGATGTTCTTGATATACGGTAACTGGTATATTCAATGCAGTGTAAACATAAACTATCATAGGGCAATATATACACGTAAAATAATTTGGAACACTCACAATGTTTAGAACCCTTATGAGTCCTCTCAAAACTGCAGGCATTTCACCTGTATAATTATGTAAATGTGGAGGAACGTGGTTATCAGCAAAATTCTGCATGGTTTTACCTGTAGCATGTAAGCTACATTGAGCAGGGCCCTCAACCCTTCTGTTCCTGTGCGTCCATTTGTTTAGTTACAGTTATGTGTCTGTTAGTCCACCCGTTGTAGAGCGCTATAGAATTTGCTGGCGCTATATATATATAAATAATAATAATAATGAAGCATAGGTCATGCCAAACTAACTTAATTGCATTCTACGAAGAAGTCATTGGAAGTATAGATCAGGGTGTTGCAGTGGATGTGATCTATTTGGTGTTTGATACAGTTCTACACTATAGATTAGTGTTCAAACTCAAATAAATTGGTCTAGATTTAAATTCTTGTTCTTTGGTTGACAAATTTAAACCTCTTTAGTTTAGAAAAATGTTGTCTGAATTTTTTCTAGTGCCATATCTTTATTTTTTTTTTATTTTTTTTTTTACAGGTTACAAATATAGTACTGCATATTCAAGGTGTGTATAGCAAAGGTAAACCTACACCAATATAGAATAATGGATAAGTCCAAGAAATTACTTATCCAATACAAATGAAAAACAGCTTCCTTCTGATAATCTACAGAAAGATAATACAATATAATAGTGGAATACAGTTAAAATAGATTGCTGTGTGCTAAATTCAATTGCGCTCACTAGATGGAGACTTGGAAATTGCCTTAGGGTGCCTCCCATTGGATGATTGGGGGAGTGATCCAGGGTACCCTCTCAGCTTTTGGATGATGACACCACAAAATGGAAAGATGGACTCTTAAAAAATGAAATAAAATACAATAAAAATGTTCCTATGCGTTTCATCTCGCAAGAGACTTCGGCAGGGACACAATAATAAAAATATAATAAAAACAATCCGAAAGCGGCATATACCTTCCCTCCCCCACCCCTCCTAAGTCCTTCATATATATGCCATCCTTGCATCTCATTGGTGGTTCTGTGGGTGTTTCCAAAAATATTCCGCAGTTTTGACTTGTCAAAAATCTAATTTTCCCATGTATTCCTTGTTCAATTGACCTCATTTCTGTGCGTCACTTCCGGTAGTCGCGTCTGTATGACGTGTTCCAATCGACGGCCATCATGCATTCTATGCTTGTAAGTTGTCGCCAGGGTTAGGACATACAAGCTTCTTTCTTTAGTGGAGCATAAGGAAGCCTTAAAGGCTCAAAAGGGACAAGTGTCAGAAATAAACAGCAGCATGTAACTGCATCAGTAACCAAGTCCCAATTGTTTAAATAGAGCCCAAAGCTGCCTGGCAGTATCTCTCTGGATAATTTCAGCTGATTTATTAGGGGAATGGGAATGTTATTTTTGTTCCAGGTGTTTCTGTTTGGAACATATTAATATGACCAGAATTTTTTTCCCTCTCTATAATGCTGTTATAAATCTCCTCTCTTCTGTTTGATTAGTTTCAATACCCAGAGAGAACTCACATGCACAAGCCTTGGCTCTAACTGTCTATGAATTGTAAATAGCTTAAAATCATCATAAAACCAAGACATGTCAAAGCCCTTAGAGTGGAGAGACAGGAGTGGGGACACTTTGCTAAAAAAACACTATGTACACTTGTAATAAATATACAAACATAAATGAACTTGTTCTTCCTGAACTAAATGTATATATATATTACGAGCAAACTGAATAAATATTGTCAGTTTTTCCAAGTATAGTAATTACTATTTCTATTTCCACTGATAGGTCAAACCAGGTATCTACTACAATTTCAATATCACAACCTTAATGTAGATAAGTGAGGCTTTATGGACTAAATCTCATTTTGCAAATTAAGGTAAAAGGGAGTACACCTAATTTTGCTAGTGAAGGGGATAAAGCACACAAAACACTCAATTTCTTCAGTCACCATGACACCCAATAGGCGTTTTTCTTATCTATTGCAAAAATATTGTCATTTTTCTAAGTATGGCAAACAATAATTTATTGTAACTGATTTCCTTTAACCCACAGTATATTTCTTTCAGGTGTATTTGCCTAGAGTGGTACTACTGAAAGTGGTGACAAGAACAGAAATCTATGAAGCAAGGCTATGAAGAAATCTTTTAATCACAGAACCAAGGAGTCTAACTTTGAAAAATCAAGCAAAACAGATTACCATATGTTCTCAAATGAGATCGTAAACATGAACCCCAAACCATTCTCATGTTTTGAATGTGGGAAATGTTTTAGGGAACACTCCAAACTTCTTAGACATCAGAGAACTCACACAGGAGAGAAGCCCTTCTCATGTTCTGAATGCGGGAAATGTTATAGCAGTAACTCAACTCTTATTGCACATCAGAGAACTCACACAGGAGAGTACCCATTCTCATGTTCTGAATGTGGAAAATGTTTTAGCTATAACTATACTCTTATTGTACATCAAAGAACTCACACAGGAGAGAAACCGTTCTTGTGTTCTGAATGTGGAAAATGTTTTGTCTGTAAACATCATCTTATTAGACATCAGAGAATACACACGGGAGAGAAACCATTCTCATGTTCTGAATGTGGAAAATGTTTTCACTATGACTCCACTCTAATTGCACATCAGAGAATTCACACAGGAGAGAAACCGTTTTCATGTTCTGAATGTGAAAAATGCTTTGTTACTAAAGCACATCTTGTCTGTCATCAGAGATCTCACTCAGGAGAGAACCTGTTCTCATGTTCTGAATGTGAAAGATGTTTTGTCGCTAAATCAGAGCTTGTCCGCCATCAGAGATCTCACACAGGAGAGAAACCGTTCTCATGCTCTGAATGTGGAAAATGCTTTGTTACTAAAGCACATCTTGTCTGTCATCAGAGATCTCACTCAGGAGAGAAACTGTTCTCATGTTGTGAATGTGAAAAATGTTTTGTCGCTAAATCAGAGCTTGTCCGCCATCAGAGATCTCACACAGGAGAGAAACCGTTCTCATGTTCTGAATGTGAAAAATGTTTTGTCACTAAATCAAAGCTTGTCCGCCATCAGAGAATACACACAGGAGAGCAACCGTTCTCATGTTCTGAATGTGAAAAATGTTTTTGCTATAAGTCAAATCTTGTTAAACATTGGAGAACTCACACAGGAGAGAACCCGTTCTCGTGTTCTGAATGTGAAAAATGTTTTGACACTAAATCAAAGCTTGTCCGTCATCAGAGAACTCACACAGGAGAGCAACCGTTCTCATGTTCTGAATGTGAAAAATGTTTTGTCACTAAATCAAAGCTTGTCCGCCATCAGAGAATACACACAGGAGAGCAACCGTTCTCATGTTCTGAATGTGAAAAATGTTTTTGCTATAAGTCAAATCTTGTTAAACATTGGAGAACTCACACAGGAGAGAACCCGTTCTCGTGTTCTGAATGTGAAAGAATTTTTGTCGTTAAATCAGAGCTTGTCCGCCATCAGAGATCTCACACAGGAGAGAAACCATTCTCATGTTCTGAATGTGAAAAATGTTTTGACACTAAATCAAAGCTTGTCCGTCATCAGAGAACTCACACAGGAGAGAAACCGTTCTCATGTTCTGAATGTGAAAAATGTTTTGACACTAAATCAAAGCTTGTCCATCATCAGAGAACTCACACAGGAGAGAAACCGTTCTCATGTTCTGAATGTGAAAAATGTTTTGACACTAAATCAAAGCTTGTCTGTCATCAGAGAACTCACACAGGAGAAAAACCGTTCTCATGTTCTGAATGTGAAAAATTTTATAGGCATTACACAAGTCTTGTTAAACACCGGAAAACTCACACAGGAGAGAAACCGTTCTCGTGTTCTGAATGTAGAAAATATTTTGTTATGAAAGCAGATCTGGTCAGTCATCAGAGAATACACACAGGAGAGAAACCGTTCTCATGTTCTGAATGTGAAAGATGTTTTAGCTTTAATTCAAGTCTCGTTAAACATCGGAGAACTCACAAGAGAGAAACCCTTCTCGTGTTCTGAATGTGGAAAATGTTTTGTTACTGAAGCAAAGCTGGTTTGTCATCAGAGAACTCACACAGGAGAAAAACCATTCTCATGTACATATTGTTGAAAAGGTTTTGTCACTAAAGCAGAGCTCTTCAGTCATCAGAGAACTCACACAAGAGAGAAACCATTCTCTTGTTCTAAATGTGGAAAATGCCTTTTAACTGTCACTCAGCTCTTGTTATACAACAGCGAACTCACACAGAAGAGAAACCATTCTCATTAGTGTTGTTGCGAATGGTTTGTGGCGAACTTCGGTCAGCTGACACATCCCGGCCAATGTCTAGCAGACCCTCCCTCCCACCTCCTGGACAGCATCCATGTTGAAGCTGCCTTCAACATGGATGCTGTCCAGGAGGAAGGAGGGTCTGCTGGAGATTGGCCGGGATGTGTCTGCTGACCGGAGTTCGCCACGAACCGTTTGCGAACAGTTTGCGACAACACTACTTCTCATGTTCTGAATGTGGAAAATGTTTTACTCAACATTCACATCTTCTTATTATACATCAGAGAACTCACACAGGTGGTGAGTCTCTAAAATGTTATAATGCATAGGAATAAAAGATCTTGTGTGAATTGTCTCTTGCTGACACAATAAATAGTAACTGTGATGGTAGCAGTCAATGTACATATGATGCTATCATCCGGGGTGCCTAACCTGCACTGCCAACTCTAAAGGCTAGTTCCCCCAACCCATGTTAATACAGACTTCAAGCATAGGTTATGTTTACTTCTATTTCTCTAGGGTTTTTCTTAGGGCATACAATGCAGCTGAGACTATAACTAATAAATATACCAATTTTGTCACATTATCAAATCAGACATTCATAATTTGGAGTCAAATAAAGAGCCTTCTGAAAAATATTTAATGAGCTTTAAAATATGTGTTGCAGGATTTGTTTCTTTGTAATATTATCATTCTTGTATTAGTTGCAAATTAAAAGATTTCAGACTTATTTCATACACAGGAACTGAGGCCCTACCTACACATCTAATATTAATTATAGTACTTATGTCCATTGTATATCAATGATCAACACATATGGTTTTTGTTCAGATAGATTGATAAAGGCCTGCTGTTATAACCTTCAACCCAGCATTCCAGGCCAGACTCACATGTGTATTAAGAAGGGCCTCTTTCTGAATGTATTCATTTAAACATATATAGTAATTCCTATAACCATTTTTATAATGTTTGGCTCTAACTATAGATTGGCAGAATGGGGATTAATTCGTGACCCATTTTACACTTGTTTTAAAGAATCAAATAACCTTATACTTGTGTACTCATCCTAATGAACTGAATTCTTAGACATATAAAAGCTTTCGCAGATAAATATTCACCACCAATACTTTTGCATCAAAAATGGATATTAACTTGAAGTGCATACAAATTGCTGTATTGGTCCAGATGTGTGCCAAGATATTTTATTTTCGGATGGTGTGTATTGTTTGAATAAATATTAAAAATTTTGTACTTTATATTTTTTTTATTTTTTTTTACAAGACTTCTAATTTAATTCCCAGCTAATATTCCTCAAAATGGTAAACTTTAACTATCACTATCTAAGATATTAATATATTCCCAAGATGAGTTGCTTATCCAAAGTTAAATCTACAGACGCGAGTAATACATACTCTATACAACATAAATAACACATACAATATATGAGACATAGCAGCATCCATTGATAATAGAGAGATGGGCGCAATCGATATTATTTCTTTAATATATTAATTTAACTCGCAACTGTCACGAACGCACCCTACTCCAAGAGTGTATGGGACGTAGTTGTGGTGGTGAAAGGATTAAAGTTCACTATTTGTCTGCACTAGACCAGAAATAATGACAAAATTCCCCCTTTTTAACACCACCCACACTTAAACATAATAATATAACTATTACTATTTTAACGCTGCCACCACCAAGACAATTTATAAATGGGGTGCCTTGGCCCCCCAGGTAAATCAACAATAAAACCCACCAAATATTACTGAGTACAATATTTAAGGAATTGAAAAAATACTAACTAGTCTCTTCAGGTTACGTGATTCTTAACCAGACAAAGGCAGGACTTAATAAATGAATGTTTAATATGAGCAAAAATAGTCACAGTGCATATAAAAATATATGATAAACAAATTACACCAACAACAGATAAAAACAAAAAGGATAAAATACAGAAGTCCTGTCTTAGGTTTTCAAAGTACAACTTCTGTCCAGAGGGTCTCTGGCAAGGAAAGATGGTGACTCACTCAAAATTAGATCTTGGCCCCAATCAAGTACATTAGCACCCTTCAGGATCATTAGAGACATACCCTGTGGATTACCACACCCCACCCAGAGGTGGAGTTAAGGCGTATCTATAGAGATACTAAGCGACCACCCCCTTGTGTCCAGACCCACATCAATCCAAATGGAAACATTTGGTTCTATCTTCTCTTATGTGCCAGCCAGAGGAATAATAATTGCCTTTATGAATTTATTATTTTCCCATTCTATACATATGTTGCATGCCGGCCTTGCGAACCTATAGGATGGACACCACAATTCCTTCCCCCTATGGTCACGTTAGGCCACTCATGTTTGGACGTGGTTAGAAGATGGCGCTTGTCACATTCTAAATATAACGAAAATGAGGCTTTATTATTATTATGTGGGGTAAATATGAATGTTTTTGTCCTTCCTTTGGATATGATACACGGCTAATGGCATTTACAAATGAAAGAGATTGACTCATCCCTAATAAAGTACATGCCAAATGGATGAAGAGCCATTCAGACTTTTTCCAAGTGTAGAACCTCACACCTTGCAGAGCCTTGACTATATAGTAGGAAAGGTTTAATTGGCGCTCACTTAACACTGATAAAAAGTCAGGAAAACAGAGGCCTGCAGTAACTAGTACAAGGATTCCCTACCTTGTCAATGATAAATATAAGAAAAAAGAATAGTGAGTAGGCGCTTCACTGAAATATATGGCAATATAGTATGTAACGAAAATACCAAACAAAAACGGTGTACCCAGTATATAGGTTTTTCCCTTTTACACCAGACGTCAAGATAACAAAGTATGAAAATATAAATATACTGGTATGTCCACCTCCCCAGTGTCACTTAGCTAAAATAAGGTAATATTATTGACTTTGGCTTTGTTTCTGACTACGTTTTCTCTTTATCCTTATCTGTTCTGGTTGTCGGCTTCCTGTTTACTGTGTACCAGACCCCGGCTAGTCCTAGTTTACGTTGTCTCTCTGTGTCCTTGACTTCGGATCGTTCCTGACTCTGCCTCCTCTCATATACGTTGAGTCCAGCCATTCTAAGGTCCGGTAGACGTATCTCTCCTCTGTGTTGTCTTCTGTTTAGCTGAATCCTGCGTGTTGGGGTATATTCTCGTTACAGCAATATATAGGTCCCACTATGTACACAAGGTTATTTGAATTGCCCTGTGCATGGGCAGTGTGTGAGACATAACCCTCTGTATATAGTGGGGGCATATATTAACTTACCCAAGCACACAGATTGCACTCCCAGGACTTGCTACAGCAACCAGGACTTACCGAAGCACTGAGATTGCACTCACAGGACTTGCCCTAGCACTGAGATTGTACTCACAAGACTTGATCCCAGTACCCACCCCAGCACCCAGGACTTACCCCAACACTGAGATTGCACTCATGGTACTTTCTCCAGCACCCAGGACTTACCCCGGCATTTAGATTGCCCAGGACTTCAAACAGCCTCTTTCATGTACCATGTTCCATGCAAGAGGGAAAAGATGCCGGACGAGATTTCCAGTGGCAATTAGAGGCCGCATCATACAGCTGCCCCAGGGCACTCAGCCTTGCACAATATTACAAGCTGGAGCTTTACTGGTATCATTTTTTTAATAAATACCTTGGTTGTGACAGTAGAACTCAGGCTGTCTGAGTATAGTGGGAACTGCATGTGATAGGAATAGTTTGTGTGTGATGATATTGGGCTGTGTACATGTGATGGAAACTGTGTATTAGCACTGAGCTGGCGCTGTGTGATGAGAATGTGTGTGATCATTTTGTGCTGTCAATGTGTGATTGCTTTTTGCTGGCTGTGTATGGTGCTACTGTGTTTATCTTAGCAATAACCTGATGAGTAGATAGAATAATGTAACTTTATCTGTGCTGTCTGTGACGTGTATGAAAGTTGGTGAATCCTAGAACAAAACAAACTAAAATTACGTGAATTCATTCTCATACAATATGTGATCTGGGGACATACCTTTAATCTATCTAAAAGCTTCACTTCAAGTTACTGTCTCAGTAGTAATGGCACTGTCCAGAGTGTCCACTCACTCCCTCAGTCCCTCTGCAAACTGCAGTCTCAGCCAGGTAGGTAAGGTGTCACACCTAAGGTGTAGCAGCACTATCTGCTCCACTCGCTTTCTAATCCTATATGTGTGTGTGTGTCTGTTAGTGGTTGTGTTACTATATGTGTGTGTCTGTTAGTAAGTGTGTGTCTGTTAGGGAGTGTTACTGTGTGTGTCTGTTAGTGTGTGTGCATGTCTGTTAGTGAAAGTGTATGCGTGTCTGTCAGTGAAAGACCCCCTCCCCCATGCCCCGCCTTCTAAATACACATACGCACTCACTGACATATGCATAAAGAGGCATACATACGTACAGGCACTCAGAGACATACATACAGGCACACATAGACATACATACATACAATACATACATACATACAGGCACACATATACATACATACATACATACACACAGAGACATACATACATACACTGGTCCCTGCACTCCCACTGTGATGTCCGGCGGCTGAAAGGCCGCATGAAGAAACAAACCTTGCAGACTCAAGGTGCAGCTGCTTTTGCTCCCCCCCCCACAGTAATGTGCAGTTTGCATGAGTATCACAAAGCTCCACCATACTAAAACTCACAGTAATGTGCAGTGTGCATGTGTATCACAAAGCTCCACCACACTAAAACTCACAGTAATGTGCAGTTTGTATGAGTATATCACAGAGCTCCACCCAGGGCCGGACTGGGGATTCCAAAGCAGCCCTGGAATGTAAAATCTATGCCAGCCCCATAAGTCATTGCGCCATATATTGTCGCATGTAATATGTAAGGCTATGTCTTGCCACCCTAGATGAGTGATATATATATATATAATGTTCCTTTTTATCCCTGCACACACTCTTTCAAGTTATTCAAATGCTGGGTGCATTCCAGCCAAAGTCAAATATCATAGAAAATAGTAAATGAAGGCTTGCACTCACGGTCTTTTTCTTGTGCAAAAGTTTTCTTTCTTTATTCCATATCTCTTAAAACATAATTTCTGTTAGAATCAACGTTTCAGCCATCGTCCGTGGCTTTCATCAGGATCAGTTCAGCAAAAATACATTTACTACATGATGCATTTATATAGCCAAACAAACCAATTATTCAATCATACTATCACTCACCACCTGTATCGCTGCTTCCCCGGCGTCTCTCCATCACTTCTGAGAAGATAGTGCCAGTGTTCATTTTGTCACAAAGAAGCCTACAAAAGGACGAAATAGAGATTCTTAAATTGGTTCTCTCATTTGTACCTCAGAATAACCCTAATACACTCACTTGGAATGTGGAATTATTCAATTTTGGCAGGAACATGCACCTGAAGGACTTCTTTAATAAACCACAAATGCAACAACAAGAAAGAATATAAATACTAACACGGTTTAAACCTAAGTCTAACTTTGATCCACCAAATAATAGAGCGAACATTAAAACATTTCTATCAACAGTCCAGGTTGAATCAATGGAAGCTATGAAACAACCAAGTCAAATACGTAATAATCTAAGTAAGAAACAACGTTAACTTCTGGACAACCTGGCAAGAGACCCCTCAATAGTAATATGCCCAGCAGACAAAGGTGGGGGTATAGTCATAATGGATTATGATAAATATGCAGCAGAGGTTAAGAGTCAATTACAGGATCAAAATACATACAGAAAATTGTCAGGAGACCCTACAGTTGAGATACAGGCAAGAATTGAGGAAGTATTAGTTATGGGATTGAGAGCCAACTGTATAGATCAAAATCTATATTTGTACTTAACTCAGAAACATCCAAGGACCCCTATCATATATACAAAACCCAAAATACATAAAAGTAAAATGGAACCACCGGGTAGACCTATAGTGTCTGCTGTAGGAGGGGTCCTACAACCGATAGGGAAGTGGTTGGATGCTCAATTCAAAGAAACAGTTTTGAAATTACCTACATGTAGCAAAGACACCCCGTCACTTTTAAGTATTTTGGAGCAGCTTTACATTGAAACAGAAGAACCGGTACTTATTACGATGGATGTAAGTAGCCTCTATACCATCATCCCGCATGTGCCTCCTTGGACTATAAGGGTCCGCCCATAGAATACACATTGGAGCTACTGGAAATGGCATTGAAAAATAATTACTTTTGCTTTGAAGATCAATGGTACATGCAGATATCGATAACTTCCATGGGTGCAGCTATGGCGCCCATGTATGCCAATGCGTACATGTATGTGTTTGAGACGGAACACATATTGAAACCATTTCAGCAAAGCATCATCAAATATTTTCGCTTTATTGATGACGTCCTGATAATATGGGGAGGTACAATAACACAGGCTCATGATATGGTGGACTATATTAATCAACTTTCAACCCCAGTACGTATGACGGCAGACATAAGTACAGAGAAGGTCCATTTCTTGGATGTCGAGTTATCTGTAGAGGACCAT